CGCACCAACGCTGGGCGGCAGGCGGCCTGCCCCAGCAAAACGGCATTCTGGCCGTCGTGGTGCTCGCAGCCCTTCGCCTGGCCGAGGGGCCGCACGGTCTTCTGGTGCAGCGGCGGCGGCTGTGGACGTCGAGTCGCCCGCTGTGGCCGCAGACAGGCCTGCTGGCGAGGAGACGGAGGACGAGGATCAGCTCCGCCGCGAGGGGGGGTAGTGAATGCCTCAGCTTCGATCGGATCTGTCTCGCACGATCGAAGTAACCGTTCGAGGCATCGGAGAGTCCGATAACAATTTGTAGACAAGCCTAAATTCGCCGTTTCACTGTTCAAGCCCTGGACTGGAGCAATCAATGCAGACTGCCGACGTCATGAAAAATATCTGCTGGACTGCACTCGAGATGTCGTCGGGTCTCTGGCTGTCTGGGATAGAGATCTGTCTGGCGTCGTGCGTGTTGAGATCTCCACTGATGGATATGGTGGTACTTCAGCAATGAATCCGTTTTGGGCGTCCTGTGTCATGCTTGTCACGGGTGATTGTCATGCCACTTACTTTGTTGATCACGCAGGCACCTACTTCACGGACGAGTGCTAGCCTTGTCTCTGAGACGCTCGCTTTTCCACTGGCTATATCGTGGGCATTGCGGTCTTCTCTGCCATCTACCTTGTTTCGCTGTGCATTGGTAAATGTCGCAGTGCTGGATGCAGCGGGGAGCTTACGGGATATAACTCATCTTGCGGGGTTGTCAGCGTGCATGCAATATGTGTATCAGGTTCTGCTTCACTCGCATCCTGTATAATTATGTACCTCCCACAAACCTTCCTGAGGAAGATTGCCGAAGAGTTTTGGCATGGTTTCTATTAAAAACTTCATCTGGCAGGTTTTTGACAGTTATTGTGGGGGGATGTCGCGTAAAACCTTTCTACAACCTTCGCCATGGAGGTTTCTGGATGGTTTTTGGCGGGGTTCTCCCAAATCCTCAAAATCCTTACACAAACCTTCCTCCAGAACATGTTTTGAAAGGTTTCTGGGGGATTCCTCTGGCAACCTTCCAAAAAACCTTCCCCAGCTGCCCCAGGAAGGTTTGACGGTTTGCGAAATATTCCTCTTGCAACCTCAACCTTCCGAAAACATTCCTCCAGAAAGTGTTTGGCAGGTGCTTTGAAGATTCCTCCTGAAGTCTTCCTCCAAAAACCTCCCTCAGAGAGGATTCCTTTTTAAAAGCCTTCGACAAAACACGCTGAAAACATTCCTCAGGGATTCCCAAAACATTACAAAAAAAAAACCTTCCTCGGGAAGGTTGTTAAGAGGATTTGGGAGGATTCCCCAAAAAACCTCCCAAAAACCTTTCTCGGAAGGTTTTTGGCAGGCTTTTAAAACGAAGCCCTCCTGAAACCTCTCTGACGAAGGTTTCTGGAAAGTGTTACAAAAAGTCCCCCAAACACCTTCCAAAAAATTATCCGGAGGACAATTTTTGGAAGGTTTTGGGAAGGTTGTTCCTCGGCTCCGGGAGATGGGAAGGGGGGGGCGGGCGAGGAAGGTATCACACCAGCCCTCTGGGCGTAGGTGGTCTGACAGGATTATTGCTTCCCTCTTCCAAAAAAACCTCTTCCCCTTCAGTGAAGGGTTTACCCCTCCTCCTACCCCCTCCCCTAAACTTTTTGGGTGCGTTTCGCGGGTCGTTGGAGGGCCCTTTTTCGGCCCATGGGAAAGCCAATTATGAGGATCGTGGCCCCCGAGGGGGGGGACCTCGATCGGGACTCTCCCTCCTTTGATCGACAGCCTCAAAGATGGCCCCAAGAGGCGCTCCAGGGCTCCCAAGAGAGCCCCAAGAAAGCCCCAAGAGGCCTGGGCCCCAAGAGGCACCCGAGAGGCCCCCAAGAGGCCCCCGAGCGGCCTCAGAGAGCCCAAGATGACCTCCAAGATGACTCAAATAGCCCAAGCTGGCTCAAGATGGCTCTCACTATGATCCAAACGGCCCCAAGACCGCTCCAAGAGCGCCCAAGAGCGCTCCAAGAGAGCCCAAAGAGGCGGGTTGCCGGCTCCTGGGGGAGCTGAGTTTGGGACCCCCCCATCCTGTAATCGATGGCCTCCAAGATGATCCAAAGCAGCCTTCCAGGGTTACCAAAATGGTTCAAAAAGGGCCCCCCAAACTCCCAGAGAGCACTGGCAGCATCAGCAGCAGCCGCAAGAATACCTCTAGGTGGTTCCATGATGAGTCCTCGTCCGCGTTGTCCTCATCCTAGTCCTCGTCCTCCTCATCCTCGTCCTCATCCGCGTCCTCGTCCTCCTCATCCTCGTCCTCATCCGCGTCCTCGTCCTCCTCGTACTCCTCGTCCTCCTCCTCCTCCTCCTCCTCCTCCTCCTCTTCCCCTTGCCCCCACGCGGCACCCAGGGATGGCCCGAAGAGGCCTTCCAAGGCCACCCCCTTGCTTCCAAAGATCTCTCGGTTTACCCAGGTTGCTCGCTGTGTTTCTCTAGATGTGTCGCTTCGTCCATTTTCCCGTCAGCTCTCATAGGCATGGCTTCTGAATGGGCTGGTGGGGATACATTTTTTTGGTCGCGGCCGCGGGCGAAAGCGCACACGGCGTGTCGTAGGTCCGGGGCGCGGGCCTACTAATTGACAACAGCGAACTAGAGCCGACAGCCTAAACAGCCTAAGCGGACTAAGCGGCGCCTCGCGGGCTGGTGGGGATACGCGAAGAGTGAAGAATTTGCAAGGTTGTTTCAAACACCGTTCAAACACCTTCCAAACACCTTCCAAAAACCACCCCAAAAAAACTTCGAAACCTTACAAAACATTCCAAAAACCTTCCGGGCACCTTTCAAACACCTTCCACAGTTTACGGAGATCGCCCAATACATTCCAAAACCCGTTCGAAAACTTTACAAACACCTCCAAAAAACCTTACACGCACCGTACAACATCCTTCTTCTGGAAGGATCCAGGAAGGTGTCCTCCTGACAGCCTTCCAAAAGCATTCTTGTTTCAGGAAGGTTGTTGGCAAGTTGTTGAAGGATTCCCCATATAACCATTCAAAACCATCCTCAGGAAGGTTTCAAAAGGGTTTCCGATAAATCTTCCTAGAGAAACTTCCTCGGGAAGGATTCGTTGCGAGGCATGTAAAGAATTCCTCTTAGAACCTTCCGAGCAATTTCCTCCAGAAGGTGTTTTGCATGGTTTTGGGAGGATTCCTTTTACAAGCCGCAGCACGTTCTCCAGGCAGGTCTTACGAAGGTGTTTAGATGGATTCGGTGCGAAGGCCTTTCAACAACCACACTCAGGAAGGTTTCAGGAGGGTTTCCCATCAAAGCCTTCGTAGAACCTTCCCCTGGAAGGTTTCTGGAAGGTCTTTGAAGGATTCCTCCAGCAACCTTCCAAAAACCTTCCTCAGGAAAATTGCGGGATGGTTTCTTCATTGGAAACCGTTCTAAAGCCTCCCTCAGGAAGGTTTTTGAAAGGTGTTTGGCGGATTCGTGTCCAACAAGTCTTGTAAACAGCCGTTCCTCTAGCAGTTGTGGAAGACTTTGGGCACATTCCTTCAAAAACATTAGAACACCTTCCTCAGGAAGGTTTTTGTAAGGTTTTCGGGAGATTGCGCGTATATGCATATAACCTTTGTCCAAAAGCATTTCTGAGGAAGGTGTTCGGCAGGTTGTTGCCCGATTATTTGAAAAATCTTCCAAAAGCCTTCCTCAGGAAGGTTCCAAGAGGGCTTCATCCTAAAAGCCTCCCTGCAACCTTGCCCAGGAAAGTTTTCTGTTGTGTTCAAACGATGTTTGAAGGATTCCCACCCAAACCTCCCAAACACATGCCTCCGGAAGGTGTCAAGGAGGCTTCCTGTCAAAAACCATCCTAACACCTTCCTCAGGACGGTGTTTGGGAGGTGTTTGGACGAATCCTCCTGCAACTTTTCAAACATGTCCCTCAGGAAAGATTCAGGAAGGTATCTCTTCTCAAAAACCTTCCAAACAACTTCTTCCGGAAGGTTTTTGGCAAGGTGTTCGAAAGATTCCTCCTAAAACCTTCCGAACACCTTGCGCAAGACAATTTTTGGATGGTTGTTGGGAGAACTCCTCTTACAACCTTGCAAATACCTTCCTCCGGAAGGTTGATTAAACAGTGGTTCGAGGATTCCTTCTGAAACCTCGCCAAACGAACCTGACAAAAACACTCATCTGGACGGTTTGTGAGGGATTCCTCCTAAAACCTCCCAAAAACCTTCCTGCGGAAGGTTTCCGAAGGGTTCTTGCACAGTTCCTCGTAAAACCTCCAAAATGATCATCCGAAAGCCTTCCTCTGGAAGGTAGTTGAAAGGTTTTTGGAGGATTTCAAACCTTACAACAACCTTCCTAAGGAAGGTTGATGGAAGGTTTTCAGAGGGCTCCATTTTAAAACCTTCCACCAATATGTTCCAAATCTTCCTCCTAAAACTTTACAGACATATTATTCCAGCAGGTTGTTTGAAGGATTGTGGAGGATTCGCCTGCCAGCAACCTTCCCCAGACAGGTTTTTGGAAGGTCGTTGTGGGAATTCCTCTTGCAACCTTCCAGGAAATTGCAAAAACCTTCCTCAGGAAGGTTGTTGGACAATGTTTGAAGGATTCTTCCCGAAACCCTCCAAACGGCTTCCTCGGGAGGGTTTCAGGAGGGGCTGGCCGAACTGCCGCACCCAACTTCTGCGCCCACGCCTTCTAACAAGCAGGGGCGCTTCAAAGAAGCCGTCCCCCCTCCCCCTACCCCCCTCTTTTGCGTGGCCGACCACGGCCCTCGAATGGGGAAACGAAAAGGTACCGATACCGCTACTCCCTGGACCTCTCCCGGGCTGCGTTCTGACCAGAATTGCGAGGCGAATCCAGTGGTGGCGACGAGGGCCTCCCAGGAGGCCCAAAAAGGGGAAATCGGGCGAAGGGTAGAGGTATGGGTACCTCTTTCCGCCTCTGATCGAAGGCCTCGGAGAGGGGCCCTCGGCAGGAGCGTCCCGGAGAGCCCCCCGCGCGCGCGCCTCGGCGACGATCCCGGCGCCCTCGGACCACAGCTGCCCGAAGGACACCTCGGCGCCTGGCCGCGCGCTCTGCGTGGCATCGGGGGGCCGGCCGATCCTCCAGACAAGCCTGCGTTCTGTGTCTCGCCTTCTAGTGAAAAGGCGGCCCCTCGCCTCGTCGGCTGGACTCGGCTCGCACAAAATCAGCCGCGACAGCGGCCGGGGACGGGGCCCCGGGGGCGGTTACTGGCAGAGGTTCGGTGGCCTCGGGGAGCGAGGCCGCAGGCTCCCGCCGCCCGCCCATCGCCCGGCCGCACGAGGGGCAAGGATCGACCAAGGAAAAGCACAGTCCCAATCCCAAAATCGCGGACTCACCGAGGACTCGAGCATCGGCCAAAGATTTCGGGGTATGGTCTGCGAGGATCGGGGGGTCGGCCGATCCTCAAGACAAGCCCTCGCACGAGTTTGGAGTCCGAAAACGGTGCAGTGACGGACCGTGCGGTGACCTCGAAATCCCCCAAAACCTCACCGCACGGTCCGTCACCGCACGGTCTTGGGACCCCGGAGGCCACTGTCGCCCGAGACGTCCTCGGAGAACGACCCGAGTCCCAAAACCGTGTGGTGACCCCGGAGGTATCGGGGGGTCGGCCGATCCTCCAGACAAGCCCTCGCACGAGGGGCAACGATTGACCAAGGAAAAACACAGTCCCAATCCAAAAAATCGCGGATTCACCGAGGACTCGAACATCGGCCAAAGATTTCGAGGTATGGTCTGCGCTCCCTGGTAAAACCCTGCCCCGAAATCTCCCTCCCCGAAGTCTCGAGGACCCGGCTTCTCGTTTTGGCCCTCGCGTTTTCAGGACTGGGCGCCTATATTGAGCTGGCGAACGGTACGTGGGAGACCAGTACTGGGGGGATGCATCGACCTGGAATCGGCGATACATCGCTGATAGATCGGCGAAAGGACCCCGACAGTGAATCCGTACGTATCTGGGCAGGTTGGGGCTGTCGGGCCCTGAACGGCGATCAATGGGCGATGTGGGTTCGATTCGTCCTCCCAGATGCCTGTCCCCGCCTACCGTTGCCCTTAACAAGCCCTCACTGCAATCCAACACGATATAGCAAATTCACATGTACATGCCTGCGCAGAACATCCCCCGCCAGCCCAGTCGGCTTGCCGAGGACTTGGCTTTGTGCTGAAGCCTCCTCTGGAAGATATGGACAGTGCGACTGTTCACGATGATCCAGGATCAGCGTCGATCAGTCGAGGATCAGTCGATCAAGGATCGAGGCTCGATCGGTCGACGACGCGAAGCGCTGCCCTAAATCTGCTAGATATGCAGGCCTGCTGTTTGTGGAAGCGTGGCTGGTGGGTGCCAGCATAGAGTATTCTGACAGCGCCGCAGCGATCTCGAGAGCAGCGTTTCCATTGAGGGGGGGACATGGAGATGAAAGGACAACGGGCACACCTGGGCACTGTGCGATGCTTCTGATCCCTGCTAGCATGGGTCTGCACTCTGCTGCGAAAGGCCACTATGGAGCCCGAGATAGCTATAGCCCCCCGCGGTTGCGGATCCGAGCGAGGAGGCTGGGGGTGGATGGCGGCTTCCGAGACTCGAGAGTACATGTGCAGGCGCTAGATTTGTTTGGCTGTTTAAAAGATGTGGGTGGGTCTCGGATGGATCTTTGGCGGGTCGGTCGGGCCCTGCTCGGCCTGGTTGCGGGCGGGTGGCTGGGTGGACGGGTCGCAGGGCGGGTAGCGGGGCGGGTCGAGGGTGGGGGTGGGTCGCCGGGCAGGTCGCGGGGCGGGTCGCGGGTGGGTTTGTCGCGGGGCGGGGCGGGGATGGGTCGCCAGGAAGGTCGCGGGTTTGTCGCGGGGTGGGTCGGGAAGGGGTCGCTGGGCTGGTCGCTGGGCGGAGCCGGAAGCAATGAGAAAGCATGAACCCACACACTTCAACCAGGCACCGTTCGGCCCTCTCATTCTGACGCATACATCCTCTGTCTTGATCTGTTCACACATGACCGCTTTGATCTCTTAACTCCTTCCCGATGGCAATAAACACAACCTGTGAATCCAGAACCGTATTAATGATTGTGCGAGTGCCCGAATCTGTCTTCCAGACGCAAGAAATTACACACATACTGTGTTTTGATGTCTTGGAGGGGTCGGAGGCCTGGGTACCTTGCAGGGCCAGGAAAATTGCGAACAGTCTGCGTCAAGCCTGAGGAATGTCGAGCGAGCCAGTCAGGTGAAATCTCTTCTGGATCGCACCTGCCTGGTCCACCGGCTGCGCATCTCGTTCTACTCATTTCCTTATCATCCTCGTCCGCTCCGGCAACTCTTCCTCCACTGTCTCTGACATTGCACGCATCGGTGCCACAGTCGACGCTTCCACACCCCGTCTACCTGGCCCATGCCAGGTCGAGGGCCAGGAAGTTCGTCTCATGTGGGGAGAACGTAGGCGACGCAAGGAGGACCATGAAATATCTCCAGCCTTCTCCTCCGTTCCACCCCGTCCTCATTCCCATCCTTGCACCATCATTAGTATCATCATCATCATCATCATCATCATCATCATCATCATCATCATCAGCATCAGCATCAGCATCAGCATCAGCATCATCATCATCATCATCATTATCATCATGACCATCGTCGTTGTCGTCTTCATCGTCATCGGAATCGTCACCGCCATCAGCATCAGCATCACCATCATCATCAGCAGCATCATCAGCATTGTCATCATCATCATCATCAGCATCATCATCATCATCATCATCATCATCATCATCATCATCATCATCATCATCGCTATCACAATCACCACCACCATCACCAGCACCATCACAATCATCACCAGCAGCATGCACATCAGCATCACATTCCCTGTTAGCATCATCACCACCATCATCATCGTCAACAGCGTCCTCGTCATCATCGCCATCAACCCCATCATCGTCAACATCATCATCACCATAACAATCATAAGCAGCATGAGCATCAGCATCAGCACCTCCACCATTGCCATCATCAGCATCATTATCATCATCATCAGCAGCATCATCATAACCATCGCCATCGTCAACGTCATCGTCATCGTCATCGTCATTATCCCCATTATCATCATCATCATCATCACCATCACCAGCATCATCACCATCATCATCATCATTCGTCTTCATCCGGATATCAAAATCGAGCGTCCCGAAAACACATGTAAACCGATGGCACGCAAGAAGAATTGTCACACAAGCCTGCGCCCGGTCTCGTGCGAAGTGTTGAAAACCATGGCGGTCCACTCTGTTCATCCAATGCGTCAGAAGTGCCTCTCGATCGCGCGTGCCGACATCATTCGACTGCCCTTTGCACACGAGCTGTCGCAAGAATGCCTTCAGGCAACCGGGCCGAGGTGCGCACGCGCGCGCCGTCGGGGACGCATGCCAAACGCCTTCAAAAACCTGAGGCCTCGTAAGAATTTCAACATGGAGTGTCCCGAAGGCATTGGGAAACATATGAATCCGCAACAAGATGTGTCAACAGAGCCTGCGCTCGCACTTTCGCGAATTCTTCAGAAAGACATGGGTCTTCGTCAAACTTTCCATCAATTGCGACTAAGCAGGCCTCTTGCGCGCGCATGTCGAGATCATTCGAACGCCCTTTCGTCCATGCTGGCTGGGAGGGGGGCGCGATCCCTGTCAAATTCGCCTGCCCAACGGCCCAAAGGCGTGCTGAGATCTCCGGTGACTGGTTAGCAGTATTCTAATTCGCGCGCGCGGGGCCGCCCCTGCATGGGGGTCCCCGGACGAAAAATACCCCGGCAAGGTCCCGGCAAGTCCTGGCAAGGTCCCAGCAAGTCTCGGCAAGGTCCCAGCAAGCCCGGGCAGGGTCCAGGCAAGGTGCAAGGCAGGTCCCGGGCAGGTCCCGGGCAGGTCCCAGCAGGCTCCCAAGAGCGTTCCAGGAGCGCTTCAAGTGGCCTGCAAGAGAGCTCAACATGGCCCGAGATGGCCCAAGAACGACCCAAGACGCCAAGATGGCCTCCAGACAGCCTAAAGCGTCTGCAAGACGCCCCCAGAGGCCTCCAAGAGACCTCCCAAGAGGGCCCACAGAGGCAGAAATGATATATTTTGCTGCAGTTGTTGAAGGCTTTTGGCGTTCTCGCCTTGAAGGCTTACCAACGCTCCAAGACGGCCCAAGAGGCTTCCAGGGTCGCCCCAGCACAGCCCAAGAGGCCTCCAAGAGCGCCCAAAACGGCCCCGGAGGGCCCTAAGACAGCCCCAGAGGCCTCCAAGATGGCCGAAGAGGCTCCCAAGACGGCTCCAAGAGCGGGCCCAGACGGGGGACCCGAACGGACATTTTGAGCTCTACGCGCAAAAAGGTCCCATGGAGGCCCCCAAGAAGCCGCCAAGAAGCCCCCGAGAGGCCCCCGAGAGGCCCCAAGAGGCCCCCAAGATGCCCCAAGATGCCCCCACGAGGCCCTCAAGAAGCCCCCAAGAGGCGCACTGCCGACGACCACTCGGCCAGTCGACCGCGGTGCGAAATATGGGCCGGCGCAATGAGCGAAGCGATTAATAGCACCATGCGGGCCACACGCGCGCATTGGCCGCGCGTGCATGTCGAAATCCTGAGCACAACCTTCACCACCGATGCGAGGATATCATCATCGTTGCCGGCATGATCAGCATCGGCGCGGTCATTGCCTTTTCCGCCGTCATTGTCACCGTCCTCACCAGCATCGCTACTATCATCATCGCGTCTGCCGCTGTCAACGTCGCCATGATACCGTGCCCGCCCGAGTCACCGACTCGCGGCAGGCTAGCTGGCCTCTCTGCGCGCGAGCAAATGCGCTAGCGCGGCCGCGGCGATGCGCCAGCAAATGGGGCCCACGCTGGCTAACACATGCAAAACCTGCAAACGTACTATACTGTGTGCCGATTTGTTTGTGTCCTCTTGGGTCCAAATAGATAGCAGGGCAAGAAGGAGGAACAGGTCAGAGGGTTGGAGGCGGCCAGGGGGTCTGAACTGTTTGGGATCCCAAATGAATGGTCAGGACGGGGGGATGGCGCCAAGTCCGTTCAAAGTCGGTCCCCAGATACGTCTCTGTGTCCATAAGGCGCAGCTGTTCCCCTTGGACGAGGTGATGGCCCCGGGGCCTGAACACGGCCCCCGGAGGCCGAAACCAGCAGCCAAAACGTTCTCGAGCCCAGAACCTCGAACCGCGTCTCCCTCTCTCTGCTCGCCAAAACCAATGGTGCGCCACCTCCACCAGAGGAATGCGAAGGGAACGGCGGCCGCAGCGGCCACAGCAACCCCTGGGGCGCGCGCCCATGTCGCAGCCCCTGCTGGAGACGAGCAGCGCCGGCCGCAGCTCCGCGAGTATGCGGGCGTTGCGCGCCTGAATAGACGGGCCCAGGGAAGCACACATCCGCTGACCCTGTCAGTGTATGCGAAATGCTTTTCCGTTTTAGTCGTCGTCGTCGCCGTCGTTGTCGTCGTCGTCTCCACTCCCCCTCCAGCGTTCCAGCCAAAGGAAGATCGAGCATCACAGTAATCAAGTCGAATGGAAAGCCCTTCCCTTTGATCCCTCCCCCGCCAGGGGGGAAGAGATCCCAGGGTGATGGGTGGGGTCCAGGGAGTTGTATTCCCCCCCACCCCAGGGGGGAGAAACTCTTGGTTCCAGAGCGTCAGGGTCGTCGTAGTCGTCGTTATCGTTGTCGTCGTCGTTGCCTCGTCCCCCTCATGGTCGGCGGCGTCGGCTGTAAGGCCTTCGCACTGACTCGACGCAGTTTCTAAGCATATGAATGTGACGGCGTACCGGGTCCACGGGCGCAGGGCCGGGCCCCGACCACTAACGTGAACCCGGGGGCCGGGGCCGCTGTCTGGGGAGCCCAGAAACGCTTCGGAGGGGCATCAGGACAGCCGTCCAGGCGGCCCGAGAGAGTCGCGAACCATCCTCAAGACGGACTCCGGGGGTGTCCGACTGCTCACGAGGCGTCTCGAACGGCCCCAGAAGCGTCCAAGACGCTTCAAGACCGTTCCAAGAGGTCTCCCAAGAGGGGCTCGGCACGCAAATATCGTTCCATTCGTTTTGGAAATCGTGCATGTTTACCATATTCGCCTTGTAAATCTTCGTATCGTCCTTGACGACCTCAGAGGCTCCCAAGATCGCCCCAAGACAACCCGAGAGGCCCCCAAGCGGGCCCCAAGACGGCCAAAGAAGGACCCAGGACGGTCCAAAAGGCGCCGCCCATCAGGACGGTCCAGAAGGCGCCGCCCATGACGGCCCAAACGGGCCCAAAGGGTCCCCAGAGGAGCTCAAGATGGGGAAGCCCAGCTGAAGTTTCGAGCCCGCCGCTCCAAGAGGACCCTCGAGGCCCACAAGAGGCCCCCAAGAAGCCCCCAAGAGGACACAAGAGGCCCACAAGACGCCCGCGAGCGACCCAACAGGCTCAAGAGGCCCCAGGAGGCTCCCAGGACCCCCCCAGTAGAATCCCAAGAAGCCCCAGGAGGGCCTCTGAGAGACTTCTTCAAGAAACCGAGACGTACATCTACGAGAGGCCTCTGGTCCACGTTCTTGGGCGCCGCCTAATCGGCACAGGTCAGGATATAACCTGAAAGCACGAAACATGCGCGTGTGTCATGCTAATGTGCAGTTTGGATGCATGCATGTCTGTATGCGGGCATACGCACGTACATACAGAAACCATAGCACACTGCTTGCGGCAAGTCCCGCCACGTAGGAGCGCGGCAGCTTGGGTGGCGACTGTTCGAGTGACCATGGTGAAGATGCTGAGAAGGATAATGGTGATAGCGATGGTGACGATGATGATGATGCTGCTGCTGCTGCTGATGATGATGATGATGATGCTGACGTTGATGACGATGATGCTGATGATGATGTTGTTGTTAGTGATGATGATGATGATGATGGTGGTGATGATGATGATGATGATGATGATGGTGATGATGATGATGATGATGGTGGTGGTGGTGCTGATGATGATGATGGTGCTGGTGGTGATGATGATGATGATGATGATGATGATGCTGATGATGATGATGATGTCGATAACGATGACGGTAATGATGAATGTGGTGATGATGCTGCCTGCTGGGGGTTCTTGTGAAGCTTCTGGGGGGCCTCTTGGAGGCAATTTTTATGCTGGGCCTCCTGGGGGCCTCTTGGGGTCCTCTTGGGCGGAAGGCTCGACATCTCAGTTCCTATTCCCCCTCTCGGGGTCCTCTTGAGCCGTCTTGGGCGCCTCTTGGACCCTCTTGGGGCCCTCGTGGGCCGTCCTGGGGCACTCTTGGGGGCTTCTTGGGCCGTCTTGGGCCGACCTTGGGTGCTTCTTCTTGGGCTGTCTTGGACGCCTCGGAGACCCAACATGCGAATATGCAGACGAAAGAGTGTTCAAACATATTGTGGCGATGTTGGCCTCTCAATGCCCTCTTGGCAGTGCTCTTGGGGCTCCCTTGGGCCGTCTTGGAGCCGCCTTTGGTCATCTTGGACCCATCTTGGGTCATCTTCGCGGCCTTGGTGGCCTTCCTGGGCCGTCTCAGTGGCCTTGGGAACCTCGAGGGAGGCGTCATTACCGTGCAGGGAGCCTCGGAAGAGAGGACGATGCATGGGATGGGGATGCTTCGAGAGGGTGGGGCCCGCCGAAGACTACAGAAACCTTGGCTGACACACTTGGCACTCTAGCACGCCTCAGCGTGCCAGGGGACACGGTGGCGGACACAGAACAAATCCGCATAGAAATTTGTAACATAAACAGAACTGGCGACCGGGTCCCATGGCCCAGGTGTGGCCCACTTTCCCAAGTCCCCCTCCGCAGCCCACTTTCCCCCCAGAGGTCCGGGAGCCCTTTTTGGAGCCTTTGGAGATTACTTCGGCTTCAGGGGTCGTGCAAGATGGCTCAGGAGGACGCCCAGAGGCTGCCAAAATTGCCTGGCCAGGACGCTCCAAGGAAATTCCTGGATGGCCCCAAGAGACCACGACACGCTTCAAGAAAGGCTCCCAGAGACCCCAAGAAAGAATGCCTTATACGTTTTCAATATGTCAGAAGCATTGTGTGTGCCAACTTCGTTTGGGTTTCGTGTGCTTCCCTTCAGATAGCCGTAAGAGCGCTTCAGAAGACCCCAAGGCGGCCCACAACGTCCACAGAAAGTTCGAAGAAAGTCAAAGACTGCCTAAGCGAGCCGGCGCAAGGGGCAATAGAGCCCCAAAAGCGCCCGAGAGAGCACACATTCAGGCGAAGAAGGCTAACAAAGAGCGGTAAGACGCGTCAAGACCTCCCAAGAGTTCCAAAGGACCTTCCAGAGGCCAATCTGCACTTCGATGCTAAATTTTATGATGCCTGCTTCGCGTGCTCCGCCAGCTGGCGTGACAGCGTCCTCCATCGTCCATCGTCCCCCGTTTCTTTCCTTCTGCGTGAGCTCCGCCAGTCAGCGTGACAGCGCGTGCATTATGCTTCAAGGCCGCTCAAGCAGCCCGATGCAAACTTCTCCAAGAAAATACCGGTCAAGCCTCTCAGGGAACATCGCTCGAATCGAGAGGAGAAGGGTGACGAGTAGGGTGGGACGGAAGACGAAAGCAGGAGGTGTTCAATGTTCTCCTGTCGGAGGTTTCTCGGTCCCGGGCGAGCGCGAGGAGACGCAGGATGAGGAGGGGGAGGACGATCAGAAACAGAAGGATGGGGCGAAGGAGGTGGCGCTTTGCCACCCTCGTAGCTGCTCTTCGCAGCGCCCGGCATTTCCTGCCGATCCTACAGACAGCATCTTCGGAGTCGACTCGAACCTAAGCGCGCGCGTAGCGCGTGCGTGGTTCTAGTTCAACCATTTGCCAATCTTTCCTGGGTGCTCCTTTTCCTACACTTCTCTAGTATTTCTGAACAGAAATCAGCCTTTTACGCGAATTTGCTGGCATTTTCCCAAGGCCGAGCCTCAGGCAAGGGGGAGGCGGCAGAAGGCATTTGTTTTGTGTTGCTCCGCTGGCGGTCGCTCCGCGCATGGGGGCCCGGGTCGGATTGCGACAATCGGCGGCGAGCGAGGGGGGGAAGCGAGACGGAGAAGGCCTTCTGCGAAGGCGGCGCGACTTCTCAGAAGAACGACGATAGAAACGACGGCAGAAACGACGACAAGCAAAAACGGCGACGACGACAGCTGCGAAGACGTCGACGGCGACCGCCGCGATCGCAGCGGCCAAGACGGCGGCTGCAGCGACGGGAGAAGGCTCGGAGAAGGCCGTCGTGCCGACTGCGGCGGGGGCGGCGGCCATGGCAAAGCAAGCGACGATGACTACGGCGACGACAACCATGGTGTCGACGATGGAGACGGCGGCTGCGATTGCAACGGCGAACGCATGGACCAGGGTAAAGGCGGCGACGGCGGCAACCGCGACGGCTGTAAAGTCCAAGGACGGCGGAAGCTGTCAACGGTAAGGGGTGCTTCAGGTGGGAAGGGAGGGCCGCTGGGGGCGAAGACTCCCCCACTCGCAAACGTCTTGTGTCCCTCCCCAGTGACGACTCCGCGACGCGGACCGACTCCGAGGCGAGCCTTTTCCGATATTCCGGGTGCAGGCCTACACTTCTCTCCGCTCCTCGCCCTGCCTCTTTCCCCGCTTCCCCTCATCCTCTCAATCCCTGGTTGACTGTTGCGCCGCGGAGTCCCACTTCCCATCAGCTGGTAGGCCCACGCGCTTCGGGCGCTTCACGTGGGCGCCTACCTGACCCGTTGAGACCTCCAGCCAAGATAGAAGCAATGACACGCCGCCATGGGGAACCCATCAGCGTGCTACTGTTGAAGAGAGACAAAGCCTTCGAGCAAAAACGTAGAAGAAACACGCTGCCTGGCTCCCACTGGGGCTGAGATACCGTAGCCCGGTGGGGATGGGGATCATGGTTCAAGCGATTCCGAATCCCCCTCCTGCCAAGTTTCGCCCTCGACCCTCGGGGACCGAGGGGGGAGCTCTGTTGGGTGGCGAGCTCGTTGCTGCTTTCCCTCGTTTTGGGGGAGCCCGCGTGGGCCTCTGGGGGCCTCAGGGGACCACGCGGGGGACCTCTGGGGGTCAGGACCCAGGGCGGCGTCACAGCCTGTCACGCCCTGTTCCTCCTCCTTCTCCTCCTCCTTCTCCTCCTGCTCCTTCTCCTCGCCATCTCCTTCGCATCCTCCTCCTTGTGTATTTCTTTTTCTTCTGTGTATCGATCCTTCTGTGGCCCAACCTACCTGACTCCTCTCTCGCCTTTGTGTGTTGAGAATTCAAGAGGAAAGCTGAGGGAACGAACGCCAGACACTCATGCCAAGAATGTGGGCGAATGCACCGAACTGGCGGTACTATCAGGCGGGCACGACTGATCTTTCCATACTGTTCCCCCAGCGAGAATGGAAGAACCATGTTCCTCGCAAGCACGAGCATCCTCCAACACACGACTGTAATGAACATGCGGGAGAGCATGCCGGAGAGCAACTCAGCCCCCCCCCCCTCTGCTGCTCTAGCGAGCGGGGCAGGCCACTGGGGGCCCGAGCCTCCTCCGCGGCCTTGTCCGACAGGTCCACGCTCATCCCTGCGAGCGGAACCCACAGCTTCGACGCCGCCATGAAGAGGCAGTACCTGCGACAGGGGCAGACGACGACGATGATGCTGACGATGGGGATGGTCTTCGTATTCGCGAAGCTCCGAGACTTAGGCTCTGGTGCAGTGACCATGTGACCGCCTCCCATGAGCGAGTCAACTCCATGATGAGACTGCTCAGGGGGGGACAGTATTGTAGGACGAGGAAGAGAAAACATGAGGAGAACGAGCAGGATGGCGAGAAAGAAGTGATGGTAATGATGATGAGGAGGAGGAAGAGGAGGAGAAGGAGGAGAAGGAGGAGGAAGAGGAGGGGGAGGAAGACGAGGCGAAGCGATAGGAGGGGGATGGAAAGACAGGATGAGGAGGAGGAAGGGAGGAGGGGGGGGAAAAACAAGAGAGAATGTAGATGAAGGGGAAGGAGTGGGCGAATACAAGATAAGGAAGGGGCAGACGAAAACCAGCGAAGGTGGGAATAGAGCCCGGGATGAGGAAGATGAGGAGATGAGGAGGGGGAAGATGAGGGACGGTGGAACATAAGGACAAGGACAAAGGAAAAGCAATACCAAATGATTCGAGAGACGAACATTGCAATAAACAAAATACTTTGGAGGTCCGCTGAGATTCTTGGATCCGCACTGGACCCCCCTAATTACGTGGCGCGCGGAGCGCGCCAGAGACGGCGCCAAGGGGGCTCCAGCGCCGATCTAAGAGATCCGCAAGGACCTTCGAACGCTCATGTTTACATCGTTAATCGTTCCCGAATCGCTGCGGATGCTGATGACAATCCTAATTGGGCCCAAGTAGATGGAGTCGGAGGAACGCGCCGCGTCGCCGATACATCGCTCATGTCTCGGCGAAGTCGGTGCGGCGAAAATCAGGGTCCACGTTGGGCCGCAACGCTGACGCATCGGCGATGCGGCGCGATCCTCCGGCCCCATCTGCTCGGACCCCATCTGGGAGGCCTGGAGTGAGGCGGAGGGATCGCTGCGACTGCTGATGCGGGGGTGGATGCAGCCAGCACGCGACGTCCGGGTCCCGCAGCGCTGGCCCCCGCAGAAGCGGGGCTCACCGCCGCCGCCGCCGCGTGCCGCGAAGGCCGCGACCCCCCTCGCCCCGAGCAGCGGCGGGGCCGTGGGGCAGGCGCAGAGCGTGCGCTCAGCGCGGGCCCCGTGGCAGGCCAGTGCTGTGTCGTCACGGCTGCCAGCGTCGGCGCCGATGCCGGCCGAGGGCCGTGGGCCGTGGGCGGCCCGGCGCGGCCGCGGCAGCCGCGAGGCGTGGGTCGGCCCAGCGGCGCGGCGGGGACGCGCCCCGCAAGGCCGGGGCGCGCTGGGGCGGCGGCCAGGCCGCGCCCGCGCCCCCTCGCTCGCCGCCGAGCTTAGGCGCTTGCTGTCCTACCTCCGCTCCACTTCCGTTCCACGCACGGCGCAACTTCTAGCCCGCGCCGCGCCGCGCGCCGCCGTGGGCCTCGCGTCAGGAGAGCACGACGGCCGCAAGGGGCACGAAAGCGACGCGGACGCGGCACGGAAAGGGCTTGGACTCTGTAAACAAGGGGAAGTCTAGCGAACAGTCGTACCTAGGCCGGAAGAACATCCTTCAAGAACATGAGACCCTCCGTCGGCCAAGACAAACATAACATCCCAGGGTACCCTCCCCAGGATGCACAATAACATCAAAGAAACACGAAGAACACTAGGGTACCCTCCCCGAAGCGATCTCGACCTTCTACCTCGGTCCGACTGTAACACGAAGGCTCCCATGAACGGCTACACACCCATCGTGGCGGGCATTCGGGAGGCTGACCATTAGAAAACATAGTCGTATGCGCATCCACCGACTCTCGCCAGGCCCATCGTGAGCCCAGGATCGGTGCGTACGCCTTCTTGGCCTGGACCGAGAGGCGTATACGTCGAAACCTGGGCCCCAGGGCCATCATCTGTGAAGTAATAGTACAGGATGCTCGTCGAAACTAGGAAGTCTGGTGACGGCCCCCCGGGTCCGCAAAGGGCCTCTGGCGGCCGAAAACTGCAAGAAAAGCCTCCCGGGCTCCTTCCCCCAGGGTCCTCTTCGGAGACGCACTGACCCGGGTCAATGCAAACCTGGGTCAGTCAGGCATTGCAGGATCCTGCAAGATCCTGCACGCTAATCTGGGTCAGTGCAGTCCTGGCGCTGCAGGATCCTGCAAGATCCGGTGCTCTGCCCCGTCTCAAGGCCCCCGACCCTTCTATTCACGGCGGCATCATGGCTCCTGCCACGCTTTCGGCGCCGACGGGGGCCCAGTGCGCCAGAAGTACGCGGCTGGCCGCGTGCGCCAGAAGTGCGTACGAGGCGGCCGAGCGCGTCAGCAGTACGCTTCCCCCAAGGGTCCCTTCTCACGGCGGCATCCCCAGCTCCTGCCTCACTTTCGGCGCCGACGGGGCCGAGGGCTCTGCCGGCACCTCGGCGATTTGTCTCCTTCCGTGTGCGTCCTTGCCTCCGGGTGTCGAGAGGGAGAGCCCTCGACGGAAGCACGCTCAACCCGGCCACGTGCACCCAAGACCAGGAGAGCTCCGCATCGTGCGGCCGTGTCCTGGACGGGGCCGAGGCCCTGCTCGCACCTCGCGGGCGCGCGCGCCAGAAGCACGCGGCGGGCCGCCTCCGTGCGCGCAGCCCCTGCGCGTCTGGCTGCAGCCGGTGCGCGCGCGCCTGCCTCGCCGCTGCGGGCCGCCGGGCACGCGGCGAAGCGCCCTGTCGGGGGTGGGCAGAGGTGCCTTCAAAAAAGACGCCCGCTAGTCGACGGCGAGCGAGGGGTGGGGCAGTGAGAAGGAGAGGGTCTTCTTAGAAGGCGGCGGGGCTTCTCAGAAGCCCTCGCGCCTTGTGAGAAGATCTCTTCGTCTTCGGGGGAGGCTCCGAGAACTTCTGGGGAGGCTTGGAACTTCTGAGCTTTCTGAGAAAGCCTTCTCCTTCTCACTCCCCCCCCCGGCAAGAAATCTGGGCCAGCTTCCTGTAGGGGAACGAGCAATGGCATAAAGATAAAAACTACGAGATCCGCGCGGGTTTCTCGTATCGGCGCTCCGCGCGCCAGGGAAGGGGGTCCAGCGTCGATCCGAGAAGTCCGCGCGGATCTCCGAGTTGTTATGTTTATGTCACTGTTCGTTCCCCTACTCCTGGAAGTTTCTTATCATATCAACCTGGGTCAGTTTCTGCTGCTGACGCTAGATGGGCGAGCGCATCCGCAAGGGACTGGGCCAGCTTTCTGGCAAGGTGGCTGAGAACCGCTGGCCCAGCTTTTCGAGAGGAGGCTTCCTAATCATATGCCCGACTGTAGCTGTTCGCGGCCGCCTGGGCGCATCACCCACTGGCACAGCCGCCCCGGCACGCAACGCGCAACCCGCGGCGTGTTGTTACGGAGCCCAACGCGTACACGGACGATGTCGGTCTGGCGCCATACGTTCGCCAAGACGTGGGCCAACACGTGCCGAGCCAACACGCAGTGCGTAAACATGGGCGTTTCGAACTCGGTACGTGCTGCGCTTCAACACGAGTGAGTCAGGGCAGCTGAGCCCACTGGAGGGTGGGCGAGTGGTGAGAGCCGAGGGCGGGCAACGCGCCAGGCCCATGGCTCCGCCACAATCGGGGGCGAGGGAGAAGAGCGGAGGGGGGGCGGAGGGGCAGGGGGCCGATCGCGCCGATTCCCCCATCTATCGCCGACGCATTGGCGATACATCGGCGACGTCGGCGATGCATCGGCGACGCCAATTCAAAGCAATTCAAGAAAATCAGGCTCTGCATCAAGCCGCACCGCCGATGCATCGGCGATGCGGCACGATCCTACAACCCCATCTTTGGCGGCGCGCACAGGGGTGTAGGGGGAGGGGAGGGGGGAGGCTCCTTAAAGGAGGCCGCTTCTTCGTAAGAGCACTTGCCCCCTCCCCCTGCCCCCCTGTGCGCGTTGCCAACATCTAACCCGACCCCATCCGGGAGGCCCATAGACCGGCCCACTCCCCTCGCCCCCGATCCCACCGCTACCCTCCAGCGTCAGGCGCAGGGGGCGGAGCGCCACTCGTTGCCCCGCCGCATGCGCGTGGCGAGCACTGCGCCTCGCCCAGACGGCGTCCGGGGGGGGAGGGCGGGGCGGCCGGCAGTGGGGCAGATCCTCGGGGTTCCCCAAACCGAGGCCTGCTCGCGTCGCGGGAAAATCACGACGGGAAGTGTTTGGCCGTCGTGGGCCTCTGTGGTCCCTCGCCACGCTGGGGGAAAGGGTCGGGCCATCTGGAGATCGCACATTGAGAATCAAGGCATCATGTCTAAGTTTGATCCGCCACCGTGCCTGCTAGGCACGAGTGGGAAGTGCCCTCAGGTCCCTCGCTCAATCCCCTGGGGATCCAAATTCGGAATTCTCCCAGGGCTCCTGGCGCGCCCAGGGCGTCTGCCCGCATCACGCTTCGGACCCGAAAGGGCCCAAGGACGGGCC